CTCAATCATCTTATTGATAATATCAGCCTTGGGCCTGTCTCTTATACACATCTAGATGTGTATAAGAGACAGGTGTGTGTGTGTGTGTGTGTGTGAGATAACATGTTGACCAGTGTAAAGCCATAGCCTTGAGCTGCAGAAGGTGATAATGCGCATCTTCAATGTTGAAGGAGACTCACTGTGCTGGCTACAGAGCTCCAAGCTACGGCACCAGGTAACCTCTGCTCTGCTCTGCTCTGCGCTCATTATCTCCTCCTCAGCACTACCGCTCAGGTCTACTGCTATTCTTCGCAAGCCTAGTTCTGTTCTCCAGCAGCCTGGTGCTTGAAGGATGTGAACTACTGATTGCCCAAGTGCCCAGCTAGATATCGTTGGACCTACATTCCTCGCACTCCTCCTGGGCTGTCAGATCTAACCCGACCTCTAAGGACTGGTCCAGGACCTGGCCCAGCAGCCCAGGACTGAAAACACATGGCCTGGGTCCCTACCCTACGTCCAGGCCCACCTGGTGCCTCAACAGGTACTCCCAGACTTGCCTAATGCAGAGAAGGGCACGACCAGGTAATATCAGCCATAAAAAGGAGTCCATCCCTGATATGGATTGATGTGACCTGGTGCCTTCCTGGTCCAAACCGCCACAAAAACATATGCCTGTTCCAACAAAAGAAAGGGCCTCCAATGCAAGCAGACAAAAAGAAGAACTGAAGCAGACAATTCAGAATAAAACAAAACAAAAGGAGACTGCAGAACAAAGAAAAATGTACACACCTGAACTGGCCAAGAGATGGGTCCACTGACCCCATGGTCGCTCCTAGACCCAAGAACAGCAACAAGGTGGCCGTAGCAGTGCGCAAAAGGTGTGATGGATGGATGGATGTAGAAAGATAGACAGACAGATAGATATATGCACAGACACCCACACCCACACACACCCACCCACACACACACGCATGAGATCAGCACGCAATAGTGAGTCTCTGATTGCTGTCAGTCTCTCTCAGCTGCGCAGATGGCACGCATCAGTTCTTTCAAGATGCCGACGGAATTTTACTGCGTCACCGTACCAAGCACCTACTTGAACTGCCTCACATGCGGCCAACACATCTCTTTGGCAGCTACAGCAGCAATTCGCTATAGTACCTGTCGATAAAACATCACACAACATGGCAATCTGCTGCAAGCGCTGGTACGCGTATAACTCGTCACAACATCTTGACGGTTCCACCTACAATCAAGCATCGTAGACTGTGGCCAGCATCCTCGAACGCCATGTAGTTTTCAACCAACGTTGGGGCTACCCACGTACTGACACCCTGCCCTATCTCTACTTTGTGCTCAAAGCACACAAATCTCCACCTGCCCTTCGGCCGATTCTTGGAGTTACACAGCCAAACAACCTTTCTCGATCTGCACCTTGCACAACACCTCCCCGACCTTCAGTTATGGACCTGCACAACAGACCTCCTCATAAGCCTTTTGCAAGTACAACAATGGTCACTTAGCTACGCCCTTCAAGGTGTTATCAAGTCCCTGCGCAGTAAGGATAATGAGCTTTATCAAGAAAGTGGTGTATGACGTTGTTGGATCGTGAAGTGATGAGGAAGTCATTCTGGATCTCAAGCAGAATGCGCAATCCTTTCGAGGCTGTACACCACACACAGCAGACTTTACAACTATGTACATGAACCTGCCACACGACAGGATTCTTAACAATGTTATGAATGCTGTTCGTGAAGCACATGATTATGCTTTGGGGCGGATCTCACAGGGCAGAAGGCTAGTACAGATGTACATGACCATAGGAGGTCCTCATTGCGGGGATTTGGTTGCTTCACATGGGTCAGACACCCTCTCAGTGTCAGAAATAGAGCAACATCTGCGGCTCGTGGTCTCTAATACTTATCTTTATAAAAGTGATGGCACTCTGCGCCATCAGGTGGTCGGTCTCGCTATGGGCACTAACGCCGGACCAGAAATTGCCAACGAAGCATAGTTCATCGATGATTTTCGTCAGCGAGATTTGCATGTTGCGCAAGCATATGCATTCACATGCCGATTCCATGACATTGTATCCTGCGAGACATTACCGCCGTCTCCTGCTCGCTATGGTCGTGAGTGGAAAGAGACTACTGAGCAAGATGGGTCATGTCTTTTCCTTGGGGCAAGAATCCTGGTCGGCCTGATGGCTCACTTTGCATTGGCGTATTTGATAAGGCGGAGACCTAGACGTTCCCTGTCATACGTTATCCCAGTGTTTCCTCCAACGCTCCGACTCATCAGCCTGCAGGTGTGCTCAGGGGACAACTAACGAGATTTGAACATACATGTAATAATACCACCAACTTCAGAGCGGCGGTGACTTCCCTGACACGACGTATGCTTGTCAGGGACCATCCTCCCAGTGTCCTGGCTAGAGGCTGGACTGCATATCTGTGTGGCCGGCAGCGCCGGCTACCATCATGTCACACGACTTTCGAACTGGTTTCGCCACATTGTTCGGTGGGCAATTGCTCACCCACTCCCGAAAGCTGATTTTGTGCGCAGGTCCTCACCCAACCGCACACAAGAGACCACCACTCATTGCTTGAAACCAATGTTGACCGCAGTCAGCATCAGCCCTCCACACAATCAAATGCAGACGGCCCACCCTCTCCTGTGTTAAAATGGCAGACGCTAATGTTGATACGACAACTCAGCCAGAGACCATGCCAGCCGCATTAAACAATGTGAACGTTACTGAAGTGGCTGTAAGGGATGAAGATCAGCATCCTACCAGTACGGCGACTGTTGTTGTTGCTGCTGTTGTTGAAGGTATACCTCCTCCACCGCCACTCCTGCCACTGCCGCCTCCACCTCCACCCCCACCACCACCCCTACCACCACCACCACCACCACCACCACCACCGTCACTGCCATCATCATCAGCACCACCACCACCATCATCATCGCCACCCCCACCAACGTCCTATATTGCAGCATCCTCTCAGTCATCTGCATCTTCTTCTTCTTCCTCCTCCCCTACTTCTTTTTCCTCTACTTCCAAATAATCGACCTCAGCATCAACTTATTCATGGTCAGATCGGTCGTCACAAAGGCCCTGTCGGCCGAGGTATCAGCTGTTAGATCGATCGTTACAGATGCCTCTTCAGCGGAGATGTGCCCCGTCTTCATAGCAGCCTCCAAGACAACGGCCTTGCTTGTCGTTGAATGTCATGATCATCACGCCCCATGCAGGGGTTAGAGATCTGCTCCGACGACATGCTCCCAACCGTATGGAAAGACATCGTCACTTTCAGTATACACTAGTGAGGAAGAGTGCACAACGAGTTTGATGCCCGCAATGTGGCGATGATTTCTTCAGTGTTGCACGCTTACGAGTGCACCAGACACGAGGTGCAGCTACTAGTGCAGCGTTTGCACGACTAGCAACCACCCTGAGCACAAGTGAGGCTGATCAGCTTTCGATTCCCACATCTGGGCCACCCAGTTTTCACCCACCTGACCCACCCCTCTCTCATCCACCTAGCCCCGCTCGCTCCCCTGCCCCAAATGACAATGACCTGTCTCCTGATTACCTGATGGAGCCCCCGGTTGAAGATCTTCTCTCTCTGGAGCACATACCGGAGCCAATTGGTCAAGACCACAACGATTCTCTCCCACCTGTGCAACCTGCAGAATCAAATGAGTATCCCCTTGCCGTGAATGGATCCCCCAAGCAACCTGCGGAATCAGACAATGTCATAGCGCTACAGGGAGGGCGTTGTGTGTACTATGCCATTAATGTATGTCTCCTTGCTTACTATTGTAATCCTTATACTCTTTTTATGGTTTCAGATGTTGTTCGTTGGATAGAAGAAGAGCACCGTGTTGTCTTCCCAGAGGACGGCACTGCCGCACCTGCTGTGAACATAAAAGTCCTTGCTATGGCATTTATGGGTAGGTGGCTGCAATTTCAGCCTGCTCCGCAAAACCACGCGCCAGGCAGGGATCCAAACATTCGGCCATATATCTTATATCGTCCAGGTCATTTCAGTGGTCGTACCTTTGCAGACGATTCATGGACCCTATGGGACAATGGCGGCAGGGTGCACACAGTGGGAAATATTAACTTTTTCTGTCACTAAATGTTGGAGGATCACTCAGTCAAATGCTGGAGGATCACTCAATCTGGTTCGTCCATCAGGAACAGTATGTCGGTGAGCACTTGCAAGCATTGCACCCCCCGAAGATCAATCTGGCTGATTCTACCACAAACAGTGAAAGGACCTCTCCACAGGATGATGGTTGTGCCCTCCCATTGTGTCGTCGCACAGGTGCAGTTCGGTTGGCATGTACACGAC